AAGACCGGGGACCAGGAGCGGATGAGAAGCAGACAGGGCTGAAGTAAGCGGGTAAGTATTCCTTTGAAGTAAGCAGTATTGTAGTGGGAGTCTGTAGCCGATGTGTCGACGAGACCAGACGGTGAGTGACTGTGAGGAGTGAGTTTATAAAGGGAGGATGATTGGGACGGTGATTGAAGCGGGCAGGTGACAGTGATTAGAATGCTGGGGAGCTGGAACGAGTGGGCGGAGTGAAGGTGTCTGGTGCTGACGCAGATGGATCCGTGACAATTGGCTCCCTGTGCAATATAGAATTGATTTTAAAATTCTTTTATTGGTATACAAATCACTCCATGACCTTGCACCGACTTATTTATTAGCTATTAGCTTTATAATAGAGTATCAATCAAGGAAGAAATTTGAGATCATCAGGTCAAAAGTTGCTGAAAATTCCACGAACTAAGTTAAGCCAGAAAGGGGATCGGTCTTTTGCAGTAGTAGCGCCAAGACTTTGGAATATTTTGCCATAATATGTTAGGGATGCTGACTCTGTATATGCTTTTAAAGCACAACTTAAGACATATCTGTTTGCAATGGCTTATTCATCTTAAATGTTTTTATGTTATTCTATTTCTATTTTTTTATTCTATTACTATTGTAGTATGTCTCTATTTTTATTTTACATTGAGAATGTAAAGCACATTGGTCAACTTGTGTTGTTTTAATAGTGCTATACAAATAAAGATGACATTGACATACAAGAAACACAGGCCCGACAGCCCCTTCATTCTCTAATAAAGACTTAATTTTTTCAGTGAAATAGCAATTTGCCATCTCAGTTGAATAATTAGCTCTGAAGCCAAATTGCATTGGATGTAAAACAAAATAACTAAAATAATTCAAATTGGGTTCAAATAAAAACCCTAACAGAGCTGTGACAACCCCTACTGCTCCTGCTGTCATCTTGGAAAAAAAAAAAAAAACAGCCTGCCTTATCTTTATAGTCACTCATGGCTTGCTGGCTGTCTAATAAAGTTTATAGACAATTGGAAGGGTTAGGGTTTTTGGGGCAGACCTAACATGTTGAAAAGAGATGGTCTTCATCCCTCCTGGACTGGTGCTACTCTTCTCTCTTGTCATATAACATAGTCTTAGAGTTGGCACTTCACTAACTGGGGCCCAGCAGGTCATGAAGCTGACAGACTGGCTAAACCCACCTGTTGGGCATCAAAGCTAATATTAGTCTGTCTGTATTATCCTTATCCTGAGGTATACTGTAGCCAGCCGGATCTGGAGCATATCCAGATCAGATAGTGGACCTGCACCTAGACACGACCAAAATTCAGCCCTGAACGTAGCCCTGTATGTCAGCAGAGACTAGAGAATCCCCTGTGAAAGCCTTGTTGACATGATAGCCATCGGCACAGATCCTCAGCAGAGGCCACGAGAACCATATAGGCCCTCAGCAGTGGACCCTATGGCCAGCTTCGGCTCCATATCGGCGTAATCATGATTAATGGATCTTCAAGCAAAAGGCACTGGAGGAACATTTGAATGCAACCGATCCCCATCTAAATTCAGACTTGTGATGCAGCCTGAATCATAATGACACTGTTTCTGTCAGGACCACTCTAGTCAAAAATGACGATTAGCCTTTAGTTATATGGGTTCTCAAGTCTCACGCATTGGCCGTGAGACACACGCATTTCGACCGGTTCACACGCTCACACGCAACACTGTGTATTTCTCACGCTGAAAAGGCAATGCCAACCAAGTTGTCCTGGCTGAAAGCTTTCTAACGTTGTATACGAGGCGCAGGCAAACAAAGTGAAGTTTCCTGCCGCCAGCGCGTATCTCCGCCAGATTGCGTTCGTTACTAGGCAACATATATGCGTGCTGCGTGCACCACTGATCTACACATGACATGTCATTCAGTAGCGCGAACACACGGAAATGGACGGAACATCCTCGGTATCCTAGGTAACCAACAACATCGCGCAAACACATGTGTCGTGATGGAGAAGAAGGTAAGTTGGAAGAAGCTCGTCTAACATTTTTGGGCTAGAACATTTAATATGTAGCCCATCGTACATTATTTTGATGCTGTCAAAAACTCTACAACTACTTTGCAACCAGGCTCAGTTTGGCTATCTTACGTTATCTGAAACTAAGAGAAATGTTAGTGGGTATGGAAAGGAATGAAGATTTACTGATTTTATTTTATATTATATTATACTGTAATATTAATAGTCTTTCTAGTTACATTAAGGATGTATTACAGCAGATTGCTCTCGGTAATATTTAATCATTGTCATAATGTTGCATTTGTATTTTTCAAAGATGTCAGGAAAAAAGCAGAAAGATATTTTGTCATTTTGGCCACCAAAGGGTAAGCCCCCTAAAAAGGTTGCCAGATTAGAGGAGGAGACAGTGGAAGAGGTGGTGCACTCTAATCTGTCCATTTGTTCTCAATGTCCCACCACACAATAAATCATTCGTCTAGATAGAAGACGCATTCAAAAATCAAAATGCAATTTTTAAAGATTTGTTTGAAACTGTTTGGAGCAATTTGTTATATTTTTGGTTAGCTATATTTGTAATACTGCATTAAAGAGTATTTGATGTGATGAATTGCTCTGTCATTTATCAGATTTACTAATTGTTATAATTTTAATTTGTTCTGGTTAATTATGAACAATGGGTAAAATTGGGGGCGGGGATCGGTGGGGCGGGGCTTCATTATGGCTCCTCCCCTAACCGCGTGTGATCTCACTCCAAGCTTTTGCTCAAACTTGAGAACCCTGATATGTATAGTTCTTTTTTGGGCAAGAACTCCCTGCTTAACATGGATAAGAGCAGGTACAGCAGTGATAATCAGGGCCATCTAAATGGTATTCATCTGTTACCTGTCAAATGACCAAGACTGAAGAGTTTGTGACCGTGAGACCTCTGAGCGATATGAACGAGTAACTATAATTAGAGTAAAGAGTTAAATAGAATAATCAAATGTCTAGATAAATGATTATATAAATGGCCAAAAATCAATTGGCATTCTAAACTAAATTCAAGTTCAAGATAAACTGAATTATTAATTTTAAGCATTTTATTTACTGATTCCATTTATATTTCTATTTTAAAGGAAAAAAAAACATTGCTAAGTGATTAATTCACACCAAAACAATAGATTACATATATACCTATGTCACATTAGAAAATCTACGTATCCCAGCTATCACAACATCAAGCTCTGTCAATGGGACAACCCAATTTCAAGGATCCTTTGAAGGTAGCCTTTGTTTTGCATCTTTCATTCGTGTCCTCAAATCACCCACAATCCTTTGCACACATTCTAATTCACAAAAATGAGCAGAAAAAAATTGGATTGAGATAAAGGCATATTCCTTTGTTTTGTTGTAAATTAATCACATAATTCTAAAATGTGTGTAGTAAACCACTTGGAACCACAGATGTTTGTCAAATACTTGTGCTGTATAGGCAGTTAATATAAAGGCTTTTTAATATAAAGTATTTTTTCAAATTATAATTTTAATTGTATTTTTGTGCCGCTATCATGGGATGGAAAAAAAATTCCTATATCGCCTCATATTGTTTAATGCTGTGAAGGACTTTATAAGCCTCGAGAGGACTTTGCTCATGTTCTTCAAAAGTTTTTTTTTATAATGGTATGGTATTTTTGCTCATTGATTGAGGTCAGTAATGTGTCATGTTCAATTTAATTTAATAATACAATACCAACATCAGTTTGACAACCAACATGATTGTGATCAGTGCATCCTGAAATAAACCCTTTCACATAAACTTACAGAATCAGACATGACATCAAGTGACATTATTTATTGGTAAAATCAATACAGGAAGGTCATTATGTAAATTTTCAAACACAAAAAGCACAAAAAAAGATTTCCATCAAATATTTTCTGTATGTATCTGTAAATGTAATACAAGTTTAATGCATAACTAAAGCCCAAGTTAACACAAATTATAATTGCACTTATGATGCATCCAACATTCCTACAATATGTTCCCTACAATGGCACACATTACTGAACACTTTATTCATTTAAATGAGATTCTAATGAAACAGCATAATGACCTTAAGAAACAACTTGTCAAAAGGGAAGTGTAACTAAATTTTGATGAAAATTAACTCTACAACATATAAAAAAATTGGATTATAACATGCAAAAAATAGGCTAACAAAACAAAATAAATTAATACGGCGAACTGAACATTTCACCATATTTTAAAGATGTGTTTCTACATTTTCTTAAAACACAGTTTACAGTTGAAGGAGTCATCATCTCTGACTTTGAAGTTTCTGATTGGACACTTATCGCTGTTTTAATTTCTTTTTTAAAAGTCAATTAAACATGATCAATTATAAAATAATCAGTGAATGTCATTGTCAATTTATTAATGAATGTGTGTACAATTACAAAAGGTTAAATGCCCCACTTTGCTTAAATTCAACATGTCTTTATCTGCTTTTGAAAATGCAACGTTTTACTCAAAGATCTTCCTCTCAAGCGGAAGTGCATGCATGAGAAAGGGAGCAAGCTAGTAAGAAAAAGAGAGATGTGAGACTATTCGCAATGCCCTTATATGGACATAGTTTGGGCATGTTTTATGCAAATTACTAGCTGTGGGGACACCCTCAGTTGGAATCACCTGGATTCATCATGAGAACTCCCCAGAATTTCATTAGAACGAAAGTGAGAACAGATTTATGTGTCTATGCACTTAAATGTTTCTGTGCACAATGGGCTCTATGCACGGCGGTATTTCCGGTGAAGGTTTAAGGATGGTCGATAACTTCCACCGATCGTAGAGTCCAATGCAATACCGAGAATTTCTATTGAATTTTATACTCCATGATTATACTAAGGAAATTTTAGTCACAAAAACAGATAAAACAGACACCCCTCGTTGTGTTTATGCTTCTTTTTAAAATTATATTAAATAAACATAACTATACATAAAATTACATCTAAATGTATGAACGTTTCGTTTCAAAGACGGGAGGACAGTACATTTTGAAGACTCTGCCATAATCCCATTTTCCTCGGTTTTCCTCTGCTTTAATCCCCCAACCGGAAAACTGTTGAGCATCCTTGCGTCAAATGCGGAACTTATGCGTGCATATAGCCCATTAAGACCTATTGGTTTTTTAACCATCAATTGTGCATCCTTTAAAGCACTCACTAAGATTATTATGGTATTCATCATCCTCTTCATTGTCTGAAGTGGCCAAATAGCTCTTGGTGGCCTCAGAGTGTTGGTAAATTAATCCCAGTATTTCATTGGCCTCCCAATCATCTGGCTCAACCTTGATACGCCTCTGAGCAATGATCATCAGTTTCTTTGCACTTCTTTTCCCCTCACTAGAATGTGGATTCATTTCGAAACAATCCTTGTAGTGCCTGATTGCTAATTTCTCACATCTCTTACTGTACTGCTGAAACTCAGCAAAGAAACAGTGGACAACATGGACACTATCATTTTTCTCTCTAGCTGTCTTAAATGTTCTGTGGAACAGATTGTCTGCCTTGGACAGTTCCCCTCTCTCTCCGTATTGTAGTGCAAGCTCACTCATGGCAAAGATAAAGTTCGCTTTCAGAGAAGTTGCCTTTTCTAAGTAGTAGATGCACTCATTTCGTGCATTGTTTACCTCAGTCTGGCTTCCTCTGTCTGGGTTCCTCTGGCTTCCTCTGTCTGGATTTTTTTTCTGTAAATCAATTTTCTTTTTCTTGTAGCACATTGCCAACTGATGATGTATGAAACCTGAGTCTGGTGATCTTCCAAGTGCTTTCATCAGCAGTGCAATGGACCTGTCCACAGATCCCTGATTCCTGAAGTATTTCCCAACATACCTTATGACATGTGGATCTTCTGGAGAGCCTTTCAGAGCTATCTCCATTAGTTTCTCAGACTCATCCATCAACTTTTTGGAACAAAACAAAAGTTTAAGTCCTAGAAGACTTCTCGAAGCATTGTCATCTGGGTTGTCGTCAATGGCCAATCTCAGCTGTTTGATCGCAGGTGAATCCACAGTGCAAGATGCACCAGGTTCCATGCGATACAGAGCCTTGGCATAACCAGCGTTCCACTCGCTATTTTCTGGATCCAGTTCCACAGCCTTCTGGAAAACTTCTACGGCTCTGCCATAATATTTGTGAGAGAATTTAAGATAGGCCCATCCTTTCTCACCCAGCACCTCTGGAACAGATGAAGGCTGGGTTGGCAATGTTTCATTAATCTTCTGAAGCTTTATCAGGTAACTTTCACACTCTGAGAAGTTCTTCATGTGGTAGTTTATCCAGGCTAAATTTCCATAGGTAACAATTAGAGTCTTGTCACAGTTCTCTCCAAGGTTTTCTTTAATGAGTGTCTCGGATTTCAACAGGTGGGTAAGGGCCCTTTCTTTGTGCTCAAGAAGGAATTCCAGATATCCTAAAGAGCAATGAGTTCGTGCGACTCCTAACTCCTGTCCTAAACCCATCTTGACCTGTTCCTCAAGCCTATTCAGGACATCTGTTAAGACTAGATCAACTTTTTTAATGTCCCAAGTGAAGTGACACTCCAGCTGATCCAGTTTTGGTTGTAAACTCACCTGGATTGAACTGACAAGAAAACAAATGAATTAGCAACACATGAAATGAACAACTCATTAGAACATAATTATGCCTCCTTAAAGTATGGAAAGGGGAGAGCCATTCTGTCTGGGTTTTTTTTTTTTTTTTGTGCTATACATTTTAAATTTGCTTTAAATTTAATTAGTATGCGTTAATCCATTAACGCATACACCCACCCATAACCATTATACCAATTTAGTTTTAAATAATATATGATAACAAAATGTATTATTTGTTTACTCATTATTGTTTATAATAATAAAAATATACCTCTGACAAAAACATCTATTTGAATGTTTATAGCTTTAGCAGCAATGCTTCAAAGTCACAGCTTTCCACAATAATTAATTAAATTTATATAGGCATACACTTTTCTCACACTCAAAGTGTTGCTTGAAGATCGGCTCCATCACGCCAGTATGGAGACGAAGCTGGTCATATGATGGGGTGTACCTGGTCTGCAACAACGTTTAGGTAGGCGGCATGTGTCAACAGAATGTGCCACATGAATGATCAGACCCGGTGTTTCCCAGCAGAACATTTCCCGTAACAATTTGGACTGTCAACTTTGTTGAGTACTTTAACCACCCATTTCTCCTGCATCCATCATGTTGATCACAAGAACTGATTGTTTGCTTACCATCTAATCTAACCAGACCTTATGTGGCCTTGTTAAGAGATGATCAACGATAATCGATTTATCTGTGATGGGCCATGGTTCATAAGTACTATACTAGTAAATTTGGTTGCAAAGAGTGTGCCCCCTGCTGACCTTACGAATATTTCTTCCAGCAGTGGCTTAGTTTTGCAAGAAGTTTGCCATTAAGACATTTACCCAAGTGGTGCTCATTGCAGAGTCAAATGTCACCCAGCTTCATCTCTCTAGATGTCTAGTACCCAGTAAAGTGCATTATATGGAGAAAAATCCTGGAATGTTTTCATCAAAAACCTTAATTTCTTTTCGACTGAAGAAAGAACGACATGGACAACTTGGATGACATGGGGGTGAGTAAATTATCAGCAAAAGTTTTTTTGTTTTTTTTTTAAAGTGAACTACTCCTTTAAAGAGCCCCTATCATGGATTTTTGAAAATGACTGTTCATACGGTGTGAAATATAGCTCTAAGGAAATGAAAACATCCTGCAAAGATTTATATCTGAAAGTGCACCGTATATAAAGTTATTGTCTTTCAAACGTGAGAGTCGACTCTGAGTCTATGAAATGAATTGTTTTTGAAACGAGTCATAGCAGTTACATCGTGACGTAGAGAGGTCATTGGCCGCGCCCAGTTACTGCGTGCGCAGACGGAAGTGTAAACTTGAAGTCTACACATTCGAATACTTCATCATAGCATCATGTCGAGAAGACGCTGTGTTCTACAATGCAAAGATAGTTCAGCCACTTTGTTTTCATTTACCAGGGACGAGCATGTGAAGAATCGGTGGTTAGAGTTCAGGGGCCCGTTCTTCATACGTCGCTAACTCAGTTAGCTGGATTTGATTGTTGGCGATTTGGCATGATCTTGGATCGTTTGGTTCTTCGGCGCTTATCCTGGACTTGCTGTCATAGCAACGGGTGCGCTAGCTTGAACCTGCTCGCGAGCAGGATTATTTCAGGTTAACAGGATTAGATCGCGGCTTTATAAGCGGAGGTGAAACGGGAAGTCTTTTATCGCAGCGCAATAGTGTACTTTTTGAGAGATATCATTTTTCTCATGACTCGTGAGGATGGCGCTTACATCATTAATTCGTTGGAAACGCATAAATGTTGACTCGGAGTGGGGTTTTAACATGGGTTTTAATAACAGTGCATGCAAGTTACTATTGCGATCCTTATCCAGATTAGTAAGATTAATTTATTTATTAAGATTCATTTATTTATTAAAATTAGTTTATTCACATTATTTGAACGTGGTAAGGAAAAATATATCAAGCTCACTGTATTACATACACTTATGCTTATCCTAACAGAATTGAATTTTTCCATTATACAGGTGTTTTATGACCCCTTTCCCTGACCAGTTACAATGCCGTTTTAGCCAGGACAAGGGCACACAATGAAGTGAACTTTAGCCAACTAAAGTGTCTGAAAAGTCTGAGGGTTGCACCTGACAGGGGGCATGGGCCATATTACACAACATTGCACCATCAGAAAAAAATATAAAACATTTCATTAATGTTTAATAAAAGACAAGACAAATATGCTTAGTTCTTTGAGTTTTATTTTAATTATTCTTTGTAAAGAAAAGCCAGTGATCAAGTCATCTTTTGCCTGCAAATAATATTGTACTCTGTGTGAAATAATATATTAGCACTTGTTCTGAAGTTCCTATGAAGCAACTCTATCTCAGTTTTATTTTTCTTTAAGTTGTCAAGTATTTTCAATATTCTGTTTTCTAGGGATAGGGGTGAAACTGTCAACACATGGCTTATGCATCAAAAATTAAAAGGAAAAGTACAACACTGCCCACCTCTGCATCACTGCTTTGTGCAGACTCTTCTGTATACTATACATGTGGACTCCTGCAACTCATATTGCATTCAGAAATAATATATTCAAGTGTAAATTAAGTAAAGCTATTTATGCACTTAAAGATACCTGAGAGGGTTTCTTCACTGTCCTGTGCATTGGGGAAAAATGGGCATTACAAAGTGTTGTACTTTCTTCCCTTTTGATGTAACATTAGAAACAGTCCACTTACTGCACATGCTTCAGCCACTTGCTTGGGAACACATAAAAGTGTTAGTGTATTGAAGTGATAGAATGAAGTACACTGGGGGGAATTTTTTTTTTTTTTTTTTTTTTTACATTAAGTTATGTAGTTAATTAATTAAATTATGTAGTTTCACAGTCACACATGTAGACTTTCCCAAGTCAAAGCAATTCATTACTACTCAAGGTTTAACAGCTGATATGTGTAACGATGATCGGCTGGATTGCCCTCGAATGCCATGAGAGGGTAGCCTGGCTGCGCCCTCCTACGCACTTCCGCTCAATTTCATTTTACTTCTGTACTACGTCTGGGATCGCTCCATAGCCTTAGGTTTCCAGAAACCAATTTTCTGTAGGACCAATCAGCGAATAGAGGGAGTGGCTGAGAAAGATGACGTTGATGTAAGCGCGTCAGTTTCAATTCAGTAATGGCAGCGGAGAAAGACGTGAGAAATACTATTCGGTCCGTTGTTGGAAAAGAAACTGCCGAATATACAGAATTTAAAGCCGGATTGTTATCGTCTAACCTCTTGTTGCACAACTGAGGACCAAGTGAAGGAGGCAGAAAGTTTGGAAGTTTGTGCTGGGCAGTTCGTGCACGATGACCGTGACATTTTGGACGGACAGTTTAGCCTGGTGTTCGCGGTGTTCGGAAGCCCCGAGTCCTGGCTGCTAAACTATGGTTGAAGATCCGCTCAGGAGTCATGTCAGTCGCTCATATTCCCAACTGTAAATTTACTGATTCTTGTGATGAATAGAACATTGAGCCCTTGTGCACTCGTGCAGGAGGTGTGTCAGTTTTACATGTTGTAAATCATACAAATTGGTTGTGATTTAAAAAAAATAAATGTCATAAATAAAAATGTGAAAAACCATACTTTGAAGATATTTGATTTTCAGTTTTAGATGGCAATGGTTGATTTGTTTTACTAAAAAAAATAAATGCCACATAAAAATGTACAAACACATTTGAAGACCATAATTAAGGTAATTAAGAAACAATAATATGTAATATGAAAAATTGTTGTTTATTACACATCTGCAGATAGAGACAGACTGATCATTCACTGTAGCTGCTACAGCATTTGTGGCAGATCAGAAACGACCACAGCGGCGTATTTGTAATGATTAGACACAGCTTCCACCGTTGAATGAATATATCACTGTCCTTCGTGTCAAATATACATTTCGAATTAATAATTGTTCCTAGATTAACAAAACCTGCGGCGCTCGTTGACTGAAATCCTATTGTAAACATAATCCTCTGATCATTCGGACTTGTTTCCAGCCATTTCGGCGCGTGACATACGTCACTCACGACACCCCGTTAGCGATTGGCTATGGCAGATCGTGAGTGACTTTGGGCAGATCCAATAGATTTGAACTTTAATAGTGAACCCGCCTACAAGGAAGGAAACGTTTTTCAATGGAGCGGTTCCAGACTCTATGTGGAAATGAAATGAACTAGAGTCTGGTTGAACGAGGCTAATGAGAGGGCACTCCACTTCTGAACTGCTTTTCCCTGAACTGATAACGCACACACCTGTTTCCATTGATCACTCTCACACCTGCATCTAGTTCCACACGCAGCTCCACACACATTTATACCTCACTGTCTCTATCACTCTTTGCGAAGTCTTGAATGAAGGTATGATTCAATGTTGTGTTCAACTCCTAGCGTCTCCTAGTCGGTAATCCAGTCTGATATCTAGTCTTGATTCCAAGTCTGCTTTTGAGCGTTTCCTAGTTTGATTGCCCGTCCGTGTTTATGACCCTTGCTGAATCCTCTTCTCCTCGATTGTCTGCTGCCTGCCCATTGACCTTCTGCCTGTTCCCTGGATCTTGTGTTGTCTGCTACCTGCCTCTGTTCTCCTGCCTGGTATTTGGATTGTGATTTAGCCCTGTCTCCTATGCTGTGTCTGCTGTGTGTGACCCTTGCCTGTCTGACTATCCTGTAAATAAACCTATGCTGCGTTTGGATCTACCTGTGCCTGATTGTTCATGACAATATGACTGGACAGCCATTTGGATTATAGGCCTACTTAATTTAATTCAGCAACAAACTATTTTATAGTGTACTAGGATCATTTAAAGTTCATTTACCAGCAGTGAAGGTGTTGCAGCTCCTGGCTGTGGGTCTGAGGAAGAGCTAAACACAAGGATGCCCTCCACAAGGTTCACATTTAACCCAAGGGCCATCTCTTCTGCCTAGGTAATGTGGGGGTACAGGACCACCACCTGTTTGTTTTTCTTTTCTTTTCTTTTTTTCAGCCTTTGCTTTTATAGTCTTTGCTAAAAAGCCTTGCTTTTATAAACAGGCAAACGTTTATTTACAGTGCCTTTTTAAAATGGATTAGTTAGTACAAATTACTATTAGGCTATGTAGAATATACTTAAATTGTTTACTTGTTCCTATGTTCTAGCAGTGGGTGTGACTCTGACATTACAATGAAAAAAGTTATTAATTATTTAGAAATTATTAAAATATAAATAAAATCTAAAAATATATACTGTAATAAGTGATAAAAACATCTAACTAGCCTACAAACTTAATTTGTCTGCTACTTTTTGCCGACTCTCTCTCCTGGCTTTTGCACACTTTAAGGTGTTTCCTGCGTTTTAATTAAGTTTTCAAATTCAGCCTATCCAACAATAACTCTTGCTCTTCTGTGGAGAAAAAAAAAGCTGATCGCGCTCTTTGGCCACGGCGAACAGCCAATAGCAGCGTTGCTGATCAATGTTTCTACTATCGATACATATCCCCTTTTAACCCAGCGCATGAACGCGCAATTATCTCACATAACTCAATCCAGCTATACTAATCATAACCGGCAGGAGTGTTCGAAGAACCAAATTAGCCGGATCATGATGACCACGATGATATTATCTTGGATGTCTCATTTGATCTCGGATGTTTTAAGCAACGTACGAAGAACGGGCCCCAGATTTGCAACGATACCACAACAGTATAGCCCGATTGTGTTCTCATCATTTTAATTATGAATCGTTCAAAAACATAAATGAATTCAAATGTGGATTCACAAGCGGTTGTTCTTGAAGGAGGGCTCAGTAACTTACATACCCAGCGTATATGGATCAGCTTCCTCCTATGAATCACAACCTGTAAGTATTATTAATAATTGTTGCTTTTATGGGTTTTGAAAGGTTCTGTAGCGTAGGGGCACGAGGAGGGAAGACACAATAAGTATGTGTGTGTGTGTGTGTGTGTGTGTGTGTGTGTGTGTGTGTGTGTGTGTTGTGTGTGTGTGTGTGTGTGTGTGGTGTGTGTGTGTGTGTGTGTGTGTGTGTGCTTGTGTGTGTGTGTGTAAGTTACGCTCAGTGCAGCTTCTAGGTCTCCAATGTCCATTTTTTTTTAAATATGTGAAATGTTTGTCGCTGTTATTGGAGTTGTCATAAAGAATAGAGCAGCTTGTAGTACTGCAGTGCTTTATCAATATGTTTATGCCTTATGCTAACAAACAATAACTGACTGGGTCTGTCATCTGACCAATCACCGCCGATTAGCGTCACGCAAAGGAGTGGTTTGGAAAAATGAGTCGTTGTACGAATCATTTGGGAGTCTGTGAGCAAATCAGTTAAAAATAAATGCATATTATAAGACAAATAAAGTGTTGTTTTTTTATCCTTGCATACAGGGGCGGCTCGCCCATAGAGGGCGCTGGGGCGCCGCCCTCTCTCCGACCTGTCTGTCTGTTTTTTAATATATATTATAATTTATCATTTTGAAAAAATAATCTGTGTTAATTATATGCTAATAATGGTTTTACTTTGAAAAGTGTTTTGAACTCACCAGAATGATATTTGCATTCACTTTCGTTACTTTTATCATGTTGGTGTAGTAGTATAGCCAATTGACTATGTGCACGAGAAAAATGCTAACTTCCGCCTTGAGGGCGGATGTTGGGTACTTCGGTTCCGGTTGCCGTTGTTTACATCCTACATCAGTGGACCGGCTATCTAAAGCTTAGCTATCTAAATATATTTGTCTAAAACTATGTTCGTTTGTTCATTGTCAAGTCAACCAACACAGTTTTCACTCATATTTGGGTGGAGCCAGGCGCTGCTGCATTGTGAAAAGTAAACGATATTTCACATTTTGTCACCGCACCCAAGCAGTCGCTTCACAGAGTGGAGCGTTGCGTATCCATGACAACTAGAAGGAAGTTTTTAGGCTACTAATTATTTATTATATTATACCCTTTAACCAGGAGAAGCCCCTGGGTTTAGAACCTATTTTGAAAGGGAGACCTGTTTAGAAATATGTGTGAACAGCCTAATATGTGTTAAACAGCCTAACTTGATAACGAACGAAAGCAACGTCGGATACCTTTACTCCCTGAGTCCCTGTATGACATGTATGGTGGTTGTCAACACTGATCTATATGACGATAGTGGTTGTCAACAACATAGCCTCTGAACATCATAAACAAAACAATGGCCAACACAAACTGTTCTGGAAAATGCACTTTCTAACGCATGATTTCGCATTTTATAATGTATAGAGAGAACAGTTACCAAATCGCATAGCTTGAGCACGTAGCATGGCAACATTAATGTCCGAGTGATTCCACGTGTACCGCGTATGTACACGCCGTCAAATGTCCGAGCGAAACAAAACAAAATGTAGATCTACATCTGGGGAGCGATATTTATTTTTTCCTAGGATGGTAGGAGTGACGGGTAGGTTGGGGTTGAGGTAGGTCATATGCTATATATATATATACACTGTGTATATATATATATATATATATATATACAATAATAACGTTAAGTCAACGGTATTCATAAACACGCTGAAAAGAGATTATGCGTGTTGATAGCATGCCAAAAATACGTGATACGTGTCATACATACGCAATTTCATGAGATCAGTCTGAGCATGGATGTTGTTGTGACTTAAGGTTCCCTTCAAAATGATGCAAATACTGAGAAATGTAATATTTAAACCCCTTCTCTCTTGCTCTGGGGAGCTGGAGGAAAATCATTAGCCAGTCGATGAACATAATCGACTGTAATATTCGGCAAATGTTCAAGACATCTGGAGAAACATACATCCTCTACGTCGTCCATCAGGCTACCGGAAACTAGACACCCCATATCGGTTTCGCAGCCGGAACTAGCATATGCTAACGTGCACATAGTCCATAGGCTGTCTTCTCAGGGCGCCAGTTCGCTCAGCCCCACAGTGCTGGAATTTAAGCCAATGGTTCCCCGGTTGCTATGCAAAAAAGTTTATATTTCGCCAATCAGCGTCGTCAAATTTTATGGTTTGGGGGCGCTGAAAATATCGCCCACAGTATCAGATTAGGGGAGTGCACCGTGCACGCGCACCACGGGACGTTTTTTTTTTACCTCAGATGAGAGCAGAATGGCAGCGCCAGTGACGTCGAGTGGAAATAATGTAAAGTTAGTCGTGGGAATTGACCTGTCTGTCTCTGTCACTCACACACACATAAACACTGTTTCACACACGTTTGATATTAAAATAGTTATAGGAATATTAATACCTGTGTGTTTGCTTTGTTTTTTAATGTTTTTAAGTTCTGAGCTAGATTACTGTGTTTCATACTAGTTAAAATCAACTTTCTTCTCATACTTGGGTGTTACCCTCAAGAATGTTGTCCCATCCTCTCTTTCAGAGCCTTTTCTCTCTCTCTTTCTCTAGTATCAACACATTGTTATCCATTATCCAATTGTCAATTTGTCAAAAATATGTAGTCTACAGCTGGGGATTGATTAAACTAGATTGTTGCATTACCTATTATTTTTTGTATTACCTATATTATAATTTATCAATATTAAGCGTTTGCACTTTTTCTGTCAGCACAGAGAGCATAATAAACATGCAACTTGTTCATTATCATTAACTGTCAAACTGTTATTATTATTATTGTATTATTTGACCATTGTTATTGACTGGTTTAAGTTATTTTATTGGTATAGGTAAGGGCATGGCCTAAGGCCTAAAATGCACCAGAATGCAGGAAATCACATCTACTAAATTCAAAATTTTCTGGGGGGGGACCCCCAGACCCCTGTTATTCAGCCCCCCCTTCAATATTTTTCACCAGCCGCCACTGCTTGCATGCATGTTAAACTGTTTTTGGGAACTCCTTAAACAAAAATACGAACATTTCAAATGCTAGGGGCTCTTTAAGGTGTAGTTGGATACTGTATCTCCACCCATTAGGACCAAATTACATTCGCTCCTCCTCGCTGGATGTCTTGTGAGGGGGAGCTAGACATGAGCTCAGCCCATGATCTATAGTGAGCAGCCTCTGATTTACTTGGCCCAGCCCTGCTTATCTTAAACCAAGAGAAATCTGAATTCATCGTCAATGCTTTTTCTTTGTTCAATGTGCAGTTGAACACAGTTCATGGGTTAAAGCCGGTTGAAGCTCTTAATTTTGAGCTCTCATGGTGCACCAGATTGAGCATTTAACCTTAAAATGTACAATATTTTGTTTGCATTTTGTACATTTTCTGATTCTTTGCCCCTAAAGGGACAGATGGCCACCCAACAAACATAGTTAGGAAACACAAAATTTATGAACTTTACTCCAGCATAGTACAACAAAAGTTTTTAGTCAGTAAAACAGTTAATACCAAATTAAAATGTCCTTGGACAAAAATTGAATTCTAAACATGAATTCTTAATCCAGCCCAGACTGTTAACTTTTGCATTAACCTTTGTAATTTAGTTTCATAATCAAGACAAATAATATATAGAAACAATATTCACCTCATCTCTGACATTATTTTCCTTGTAGCTTGCGAGAAATGATACAGGATATCTCTCTGATGCACAAGCTCAGTATTCTGCGTATCACTTTCGGTTCCTGAAAGAAGCGTCAGACTCGTTCAGTTTCCTGCTTGAGTCCGTGCAGTTTCGGAGGCAGAGCAGAGGGATGTCCCGAATGGAACTGGACGCCCCTGGCATCTGATTGGCCACATCGGGTGTCAAATCAAAATTGAATTAGATATAGGCTACTGACAGTTTGATGCTGAGTGAAATTTCATCCAACCTCTTGTTGAAAAAAGTAGCCTATCTTTTTGACTTGCGACCGCTGCGTGCAGTGCTATTTTAAGATTGAAGTTCGTCTCACTTGTAGGCTACGAAAAGAGCTGTTCGAAATTCTGCAGCGCCAGTGCTCTCACAGTTTTCCATTAAGTAACATTCCCAAAGACACCCTTTTTAGTGATTTTGACAATGCGTGGTTGTGGGAATGTGATGGCTTAGTGCGATCATCAAATCGCTGTTATAATAATAAATATAACGTTAGCCTGACGTGCTGCATGTTTCAGTACTGTGTTTAATTCACAGTAAATGCTCAGTGTGTTTGAGTCGCTCATGATTTGCATTTGGGAACACATGCGCAAATCATCTTCCTAAATTCTCAATGAGAATCGTTTAGAAATCTGTTGTCAACAGAGAATAGCTCAATGGTTTTACGTTTGAAAGTAGAAAAAATTAAACTTTAAATGTTAGTATTGTAATTTTACTGATGATTATTATTATTATTATCATCATTATTTTTAATAATAATAGCTACTATTTTTATTATAACATTGCTATTACGTATTACTATTATTAAAATCTCTATTATTTATTTTACAGTAAAATGTTGTACTTAGTAAGATATTTATTTATTAATTTAATACAATAATATTTTTAATAGTAATTGCGTAGGAGGTCAGGTTTTTTTTTTTTTTTTTTTTTTAATCATGATCTGGGTCACTTCTTACCCAATGCAGTTGTACAGAGGTCAAATCTCTCAATGAACTGGCCCAGCTGGATCACATGCATAAGACAAACATAGCTCATCTGACTAAACTTCAGCACAACTATGATGCAGAATGAAGGCAGGACCTCACAAATGCAATTCTTTGTTAATGCAAATGTCCTTTAATCACGATGTGAACACTCCCGCGCACTCTGCACTCTGGAGAGCCGCTTTTTAGTAGAAAATTCAGTTATACTATAAAGAAAATTCTAAATCTAAAAGAAATGCAGACACTTGCGCAGGCGGCCAGGGCGGAGCAGGATGAGAAGACGGCCAGGGCAGAGCAGGATGCGCGGGTTGCGCAGACGGCCAGGGCAGAGCAGGATGCGCGGGTTGGCCAGGGCGGAGCAGGATACGTGGGCGGCCAGGGCAGAGCAGGATAAGAAGACAGCCAGGGCAGAGCAGGATGCACAGGCGGCCAGGGCGGAGCAGGATGCGCAGGCGGCCAGGGCGTAGCAGGATGAGAAGACGGCCAGGGCAGAGCAGGATGCGCGGGCGGCCAGGGGGCCAGGGCAGAGCTGGATGAGAAGACATCCTGCTCCGCCCTGGTAGCCCACGCATCCTTCTCCGCCCTGGCCTGGGCCTGCTCCGCCATGCGTGGGCGGCCAGGGCGGAGCAGGATGCGTGGGCGGCCAGGGCGAAGCAGGATGCGCGGACGGCCAGGGCGGAGCAGGATGAGAAGACGGCCAGGGCAGAGCAGGATGCGGGTGGCCAGGGTGGAGCAGGATGGGTGGGTGGCCAGGACTGAACAGGATGCGTGGGCGGCCAGGGTGGAGCAGGATGTGTGGGCTGCCAGGGCGGAGCAGGATGCTTGGACGGCCAGGGCGGAGCAGGATGAGAAGACAGACAGGGCAGAGCAGGATGCGGGTGGCCAGGGCGGAGCAGGATGCGGGTGGCCAGGGTGGAGCAGGATGGGTGGGTGGCCAGGACTGAACAGGATGCGTGGGCGGCCAGGGTGGAGCAGGATGTGTGGGCTGCCAGGGCGGAGCAGGATGCTTGGACGGCCAGGGCGGAGCAGGATGAGAAGACAGACAGGGCAGAGCAGGATGCGGGTGGCCAGGGCGGAGCAGGATGCGGGTGGCCAGGGCGGAGCAGGATGCGGGTGGCCAGGGCGGAGCAGGATGCGTGGGCTGCCAGGGCGGAGCAGGATGCGTGGGCTGCCAGGGCGGTCGGCTAGGACGGAGCAGGATGAGAAGACGGCCAGGGCAGAGCAGGATGCGTGGGCTGCCAGGGCTAGTTCCTGTAAATGTATTGCAATCATTGAGATGCAAGGGTAGTTTTATCAGCAACTAGAAAACAGAAAACGGTTACGGACGTAACCCTCTTTCCTTAGTACAGGGAATGGAGACGTGTCATTGGGGAGTTCCCTGACGAATTGGGATCACGCTATGTCGATTTAGGTCTTTTTTTTGTTGTTGTTGTTGTTGTTGTTTTAGACTTTCTGAGTTGTGGGCATGCCAGTTAAATAATCACAGTGAAAGCAAACTAATACCAATCATAATTTAGTTTTTGAATGCTAACTGGACAAATCATTTTAAAATAATTTTTGTGTCCTTTTGAGGAAGCAGAGCTATACATCTTGCCTACTTCTCAGTGATAAAACAATATTAGAAAGTTAGAAAGAACAATATTAAATGCAATAGACTTGTGGCATTGCTTTTCCATTAAGGACCTTAATTGTGCCTCAATTAAAAAACATTTGAGTTTACTATGCAGATTTTGTGCCAGAATGAAATATGATCCACTCAATCTACACCTCAAAATGTAATCAAATACAGCACTGCATTACACTCAGTAAATATTAAATATTTAGGAGGTGTTTGAATATCCGATCCGTGGGTGAGGCTGTCACTTGGATTGTATTGTTTTGAGGTCACTGGATGGTTTCAAGGTAGCTTTTTTTTAACCAGCTCCTGATTTATGTTTTCTTTTATGGGGGGTAGATAATAGCATTAAATTAATGATTTTTGACTTGTTTACTCCATTCTGTTCTGATTTATTGAAGAAAATTCATTCCACATTGAAATGCAATCATTACATAACACTATCTTAGGGATTTGAAAGGAAACTATTTCACTTTGTAACTGCAGCATAGGTTTATGATCTTTATGGACAATAAAAAAACAGACAACAAAACAAGCATTATATACATTATGAATTTTATTTTATTTCAACTTTCAAGTTCTTATTATAAAGTGCCCTTTGAATAAAGTATGACAGTTTATAAGTAGCCTATGACATAATGTTAAATATTTTACAGGCCTAGTTAAATCTTAAAACAAAGATAAAATATATTATAATTATTCTAGCAATATTTAATTTTTTCTTAATCTACTTTATACAGTCATAAATATCCATAAAGTGCCATTTCATGAAGCACACACAAGTGCTATTGCATAACTGTGTAATCATATAATTTGAGGTGACTTTACTATATGGACAGCCTGAGAGCACAAAGGTTACTGAGGAACTCATCATTGTCTTCATAACTCAGAGCTTTCTCATAGTACTCAATGGCTTTATCTTTGTCTCCTTTTTCCTTATGAAGAAACCCTAGTATCCCATAAGCCTCCCCTTGTTGCGATTTCCTCCTAATCCGGTTCTCAGCGATCCTCCTCAAAATTTGGGCGCTTCTCTTTCCTTCGATTGATTTCGGGCTCAGCTTCAGACATTTCATAAAGTGTTTGATAGCTAACGGGTCACATTTGTGGCAATTTAACTGGAATTCAGCATAATAAAAATGAACCACATGCAAATTATCGTTTTTCTCTTCAGCTGTTTTGAAAGTGACCTGAAACAGCTCCTCAGCCCGAGATGTGTTGAGGTTCTCTCCGTATAGCAGTGCCAGTTCGCTCATTGCAGAAATGAAGGAGGTCGTCAGGCTGGTAGCCTTTTCTAAATGGTAGATGCATTGATCACGAATCTGTTGAACTCTTGAACCCCTGGTATGGTGACTTTGTTCCTGCAGGAGTTGGATTTTCTTCTGCTTATAGCAGAGAGCCAACTGATGATGTATGAAACTTGAATCGGGTGAGCGTTCAAGCGCTTTCTTCAAAAGAGTGATCGACCTGTCCATAGACCCTCGACTCCTGAAGAATTTCCCAACATATCGGTTGACATGTGGGTGATCTGGAGATCTTTCTAAAGCCTTTTCTACCAAGCTTTCAGCTTCTTTGTACTTCTTGAAAACAAGCAGTCGCAAGCTTAAGAGGACCTTAAGAACGTCGTCATCTGGATTCTTGTCAATGGCCCGTCTCAGTTGGTTGACTGTGGGCGAATCCTCCGAATTGCTTTCCATACTCTCGAATTCGGTGCGATACAGAGCAATGGCATAACCAGCGTTCCACTCGCCTTCATCTGGTTCCAATTCTAAAGCCTTCCTGAAACATTCTTTGGCTCTGTTGTAATATTTCTGTGAGAATTTAAGAAAAGTCCATCCCTTCTCACCAAGCACCTCTGGAACAGAAGAAGCCTCTTTTGGAAACGTTTCATTTATCTTCTGAAGCTTCATCAGGTAACTTTCACACTCTTTGTAGTTCTTCATGTGGTAGTTTAACCAGGCAAGGTTTCCATAAGTTACAATCAGAGTCTTGTGAAATTCATTCCTTTGGCATTCAATATGGAGCTCCATGGATATCACAAGATTGTTCTGTGCCTCCTCGTGAAACTCCTGAAGGAATTGGACATATGCCAAAGCACTGTAAGTTCGGGCAAGTCTTTCTTTATTTGCCAGGTCCATTTTAATCTGTTCTTGCAGTCTATTGAAAACATCCGGTAGATCTATATCATCTTTTATCAGAGCCCAGGTGAAGTGGCATTCCAGCTGGTGAAGTTTTGTTCTCAAAGTTCTGTCAGGTTCCATTCTGGAAAAAAAAAAAAAAAAAAAAAGAAAAGATAAGTAATTTCCATTTGGAACAATATTCAAAAATATATTGCTAATATAGATTTTAAAGTAGATTATTTGTAGTTACTTGTATTTCCTCATGTTGTTTGGCTAATTTTATTAATATATTTTTTATTTAAATATATTTACTTTCATTATTTTTAAAAGTACATTTGGTACCACTTTATATTAAGTGGCTTTAAGTACTATGTACTTTCATTGTAACAAATAATTTGATACAATGGACTTATTGTGTAAATACATGTTTTTACATTGTACTTATATTTTTAACCCCTTAACTGTCACCCCCCCCCCCCCTTTTGAGAATGGGGGTTAAATGCTCTATTCACACTTAAATGGTTGTAATTCAAGAATGCCTTGGAATATATACCCAAGTTTGGTCTTGTTTTAAAGAAATCACTCAGCAGATTAATGCTGAAGTGAAAACACTTCAAAAAATGAAAGTATGAAAAAGTTATGGAAGTTTTAATTCACAGTAAATCAAATATACTGTACTATATATTTTTTTATTTTATATAATATACTGTATATATTTTACAAAATATTTTTACTCTAAAATTACTTTAAAATCAAAGCCATAAATCTAACCAAGTTATGTTCCAAATGTGAAGTTGATATCACAAAAATTGAAGTTCCCATGAGATTTTGTTTAGGCGTAGTACCAAAAATAGCCACCGGGTGCCATTGAATTCCATTGAATTTAGTTGTGTACATTCTGCCTTAACAAATTAATACATTTCTGTCCAAATATCAATTTTGTCACAAAATTTGGAACCTTCAGACCTTTCTGACAATATGTGTTTTGTCAAGATTAATAAAGGTTTTGATCATAAATTATGAAAAATAAGGATGCCCAAAAGGGGAGGAGCCTCATAAAATAAGTACCGTTTCTATGGTAACACAACGTTCGACGCAACGATGAATTCTGAGTTTATAAGCTTTCAAATGATACCTAATTTATGATAACTACTAAAATGTGTGATATAATAAAAAAAGGCGATAAAAAATATTATTATATTTTAGAGGATAATATATACTGTACATGTATATTATCATTTTTAGAGGATAATTTTATACTATACTTTTTATTTTTTATTGAAAAATACTAGATTATATGTTTTATTATGAACTTTTAGCATAAAAACAGAAGTTTCAATGATTAAAAGTGGGTGCATCAACTTTTTGTGACAAAGGTCAGACCTCCTGTTATGATGCAGATTTTTTTAGGTGCACTCTTGTCATAAATTCATTAATTACTCTTCCTACATAATTTTTAACACAAAACAGGGGTCGAATATTTAATTAGAAGTCTTAGACCTTTCCAAAAATATATAATTTGTCATAATTAGATTAGGATTTAATAGAAATATAGTGAAGTAAAGTTAGGCGTCCCGGTACCGGGACGGTGACAGTTAAGGGGTTAAAATACCAGCATGTAATTACAGCTGTAACTAATTTATGTTTACATCTGTAATTACACAGCTTACCCATCCCTTACACTTTAACCTACTCTTAAACCTACCCATACCACCACACATGTCCCTAACCTTACCCAGATCACACCTCAATAGCAGCAAAAAGTGTTTTAAAATACAACATGAGCACAAGTACATTGTACTTATTTTTCAATGTAAGTACATAGTACTTATAAGCCACTTAATATAAAGTGGGACCGTACATTTTATCAAAATTGTATTTTTTAAATTGGAAATGCTCTTTCTCCTTAAAGTACATTTTATAATACACTTTGGCATTTGAAGGCAAAAATGTATTTCTATTATATGTTGTGCTGTTTACTACAGATATGGATCATAGATTTTAAATAAATATATGGGTTAAGTTAGTTGGGTTAAGTTATTACAGTAGCACTTTTTACAACATTGTTTCTAAGCACCTTTACAGTGATAACAGGAAAATAATGAAACAATACGTAGCCTAAATAAATAACTTTTCTTAAAAATATTGTTGGCCAACTGAAAAAACTTTGTAGGCATGTACTGAACTTACCTCAACATCGACGTCTGTGTGATAAATGTTTCAGAAAGTCTGATGAGGATCTTACAGGCAGGCTTTATGTATTCTCCTAGAAATGGGAGGGTTAAACTCGGAATAGAAACTGAAACATTGGCTGAATATATTTGGAAAGAGAGAGCTAAAGGCTGCCTCAGGCGATGTGTGATATTTGCTAGATAAATAAAGGATGGTCTAGACCAGGGATGGGCAACTCCGGTCCTTGATGTCCACTGTCCTGCAGAGTTTAGCTCCAACCCTGACAAAAATGTGTTTTTCGTAATCCTGAAAACATTGATTAGCTTGTTCAGGTGTGTTTAACAAAGGTTGGAGCTGAACTCTGCAGAACAGTCGCCCTGAAGAACCGGTGTTGACCATCCCTGCCATTCTCAGTCAATCTGGTGTCTGGTGTCATGCCTTTTCTGCATATCTAATTCTCTCATTTACTGTCATGTTCAGCTATAGATATATATGAGGCTTAACAGATATCTGTTATTTATTACTTTCTGATACCTGTTAAAGGCTAAATATTTTGGATTCAAATATCCACCAAAAAAAATGTTATATATTTTGTTGACTTGTGTACTTACATTATGCCAAATGTTTCCAACAATGTTTAAATCCAGAGAAATCAACTATTTTAACCAGTGCAACAGCCCGTGTCATTGCATCGCCTGTCGATGATGTCATATACATGCTACCCTTGATTTTTCGTAGAAACCACAGAAACAACAAAGACTTTAATATGTTATACATTTTATTAGACAAATGAGAAATGGATACTTTTATAGACAGAAAACAATTCATTGTTATATAGCTCAACGCAGAAGTCTTATTGTTTAAATCTCGTTGTTTTCTTGATTTTTCACAAGTAACATGTTTGTACCATGCTTTAGAGACAACACTATTTTGTCAAGCATAATCAGTAAAAGCTTATTTGTAACAGTAATACAGAGTTTACTTACAATTAATTCCATTCCATTTAACAACACAAGCCATGCAGCTTTTATTAATATGATACAGCTTTTATTAATATGATATTCTAATACTTAAGATATTTATTCTGCTGTACATCACAATGTTCAACTACTGTTGATTTTATTGTGCTTTATAAATGAAAGTTGATGGATTGATTGATAATGCCGATCTAGCTCACTGCAATGTGCAACAAGTGTCTCTTACCAGCCACAAAGCTAATGCACGAGTGTTACGACCCCTCTAAACTAATCTAGGGGCTAGAGGAGCAACATTAAAGAAAACCTTGCAAAACTGTGGAAATGGTGCTGTGTGTCAAGAAACAACAAGCGAAACCAAACTGCCAATGAAAATAATGATGTTTATTATACAAAAGATAAGGAATACCAAATGAATGATGAAGTAAATTAGGAACAGTAAGGAAGCCTCCAACCATATAAACAATTATATAAAGAGAAAACAAAACAAAAAAAATAAGTAATAAATAAAATAAAAGAAAATAAGCAACAATTTACCCTTAAGGAAAAAGGGACTAAAGTGACGCCAAAATAAAGAAAGAAACAAAAGAAAACAATTCTAATTAAATTCAACCCTCTTACCTGGCTAAGGAAAAGGAAAGAAAAAAAAAGAATTGTTTCTTCAGCGCCGAGCGCCGTGTTCTTCCCTGCTCTAGCTAACATAAACAAAACATACAAGGGTGGCGTTCACCGCTTACCTGGTGTTTCTATACAAAGGTTATTCTAGATGTTTGCACAATGGAAGTCGTACGACATCTTCCCTATCCCCCATTCCTTGGAGCAAAAGGGTAACAAAAGAGCACAAGCTCTAAACAAGTTGAAGCAAACGTCATCCAAAGTAATCAAACAAAGTAACAAAAACAAACTGAAGAAACACAGTTAGCATAAGCAAATTAACAAATCAAAACGAGTCCCAAACGAAAACAAAAATCACAATGGCAGCAAAAAGGAACCGGAAATCAAAACGGGACTAATTTCCAGTCTATTTCCAGCGTCCTTTAAACTGGTAGTGAGGACGTCTCGGACAGCGGATAGGTCCACATCACATCCCTTGATGATGATTGACAGTTTCCTGGGCCAATCAGCAAGCGGTGAAGGCTGACCTAAGAAATTGATAGAGAGAGAGAGAGAGAGAGAGCGCACGCAAGCAGAAAACAAACACAGACGCCCACAGAATATCTACGAACGTAACACTCCCACACTTAAGAACAAACTCGTTTTTGTGAACAAATCTCTACCAAAAAAAAATTAAACTCTCGACAGAGCATCGGCCAACACATTCTCTGAACCCTTCTTGTGTCGTATCTCCAGGTTGTAGTTCTGGACCATAAGAGCCCAACGCATCAATCGTTGGTTGTGATTACACATTCGGGTTAGGAACACTAGTGGATTGTGATCTGTATACACTACAACCGGAAGACTACTAGAACCGAGATACACTTCAAAGTGTTGTAGCGAAAGCAACAAAGCAAGAGCTTCTTTCTCGATAGTAGCATAATTAACTTGATGTTTATTAAACTTGCAAGAATAGTAACTGATAGGATGATCAATACCATTGGCATCTTCTTGAATAAGAACACCCCCAGCACCCACATTACTTGCATCAACCTCTAACTTAAACGGCTGGTCACAGTTAGGTGCCATTAAGACAGGAGCATTGCACATCAAAGTTTTAACTGAATCAAAAGCATGTTGACACTCAATTGACCACTCATAAACATTAGATGGACTAAGCAGTGAAGTAAGAGGACTCACAACAGTCGAGAAATTCTTACAGAACCCACGATAGTAGCCTGCCATTCCTAGGAACCTCCGCAACTCTCTACGAGTAGTAGGAATTGGAAATTCAACGATGGCAGTTACTTTAGCTTCCACAGGTCTCACTTGACCTTGACCAACCTCCTTACCTAGGTAAGTAACGGTTGCTTTGCCAAACTCACATTTTGCTAAGTTAAGTGTCAAATTTGCCTTAGCGAGTCGCTCGAATACTGTTCTTAACAGACTGATGTGTTCTGACCAACTTCGAGAATACAAAACCAGATCGTCAAGATAGGCATTACAGTCTGGCACACCATGTAAAACTATATTAACAAGGCGTTGAAAAGTTGCGGGAGCATTTCGAAGACCGAAAGCCATCGACGTGTACTGAAGAAAATTGTCTGGAGTGACAAATGCTGAGGTTTCTGAAGCTCTGGAGGTAAGCGGCACCTGCCAATAACCTTTTAGCATATCGAGTTTGGTTACAAAACGAGCAGAACCGATGTTATCGATACAATCTTCCATTCTAGGTAACGGGTAACTATCTGGTACAGTCACTGAATTGACTTTACGATAGTCTGTGCAAAATCTAACTGAACCATCAGGTTTGGGAACAAGTAAACATGGAGAACTCCACGGACTGTAACTGGATTTGGCTAGACCATGATCTAATAGATACTCCACCTCTTTTCTCATTACAGACCTTTTCATTGCATTTACACGGTAAGCATGTTGCTTAATAGGACGAGCACCGTTCACATCAATATCATGTTTCAGAACATTTGTTTGTGTGGGAACATCACCAAACAGACATTTAAAATCAGCAAGTACTTTCACAATGTCTATTCTCTGATTCACAGTCAAATGACTAACATGCGAATGAAGATCTCGTAAAACCTCAGAATTTCTTAACCTTACCCCCTGCTGAAAAACATGGCGAAGTACCACACCATCCGAGTCTACCTCCGAGGTATCAGGAAATGACTCCCGATCCACGGCCATCGCAACAGAAGAAACAGCGGGCCCTGCCGTCTTTCCTGCGACGCTCGCCGTTGACGACTCCCTAGTATGGTAAGCTTTCAACATGTTTAGATGACATACACGGGTCTTTCGTTTCCTATCAGGTGTACGCAACATATAATCCGTCTCGCTCATTCTCTTTTCTACAACATAAGGACCATAGAAACGAGCAGATAACGATGACCCTGGAACAGGTAACAACACAAGTACTTTATCACCAGATTGAAAAGATCGCTCTACTGAGTTTTTTTCGTATGCACTCTTCATACCTTTCTGAGCATCTGCAAGAGATTCTCGAGCTAACGACCAAGCAGCATGAAGTCGATCGCGAAACTTACTTACATAATCTAGTATGTTGAGGTTGTTATTCGAGTCAGGTGCTAAAACTCGTTCTTTAAGAACTCTCAATGGACCTCTAACTTTGTGTCCAAACACAAGTTCGGCTGGACTAAACCCCAGAGATTCTTGAATAGTCTCTCGAACAGCAAACAAAACCAAAGGAACTCCCTCATCCCATTCTTTAGCAGTATCATGACAATATTTCTTCAGCATTGACTTCAGAGTTTGGTGGAAACGTTCCAATGCGCCCTGGCTTTGTGGATGATATGCACTCGAAACTCTATGAGAAATTTCTAATGACTCAAGTACTTGCTTAAACAGTTTCGATAGAAAGTTTGTACCTTGATCCGTTTGCACTACCTTCGGTAAGCCGAATGTGGAAAAGAATTTCACCAACGCTTTGCTGACCACAGGTGCCGTGATCTTCCTCAAAGGAATCGCCTCTGGAAACCTGGTATTCATACACATGATAGTTAACAGAAACTGATTACCATTCTTAGTCTTAGGTAATGGACCGACACAGTCAACAAGCACATGTTCAAATGGTTCTCCGATTGCTGGTATAGGCATCAAAGGAGCAAGTGGTACACTCTGATTTGGTTTTCCCACAATCTGACAAGTGTGACAGGTACGGCAGTACTGGACAACATCTTTCTTTAATCCTGGCCAAAAGAAATGACTCAAAATTCTGTTATAGGTCTTGGTAACTCCTAAATGACCAGAAAGCTGGTGATCATGAGCTAGAAACAAGACATGTTGACGATAAGTAGACGGAACCACAACTTGATAAACAACATTCCAGTCTAAGGTTTCATCAACATGAGAGCACCATTTCCTCATCAGTAGTTCATTCTCAATGAAGTAAGCACTTTTCCTGTCTTTGACAACATCCATAGGTACAACAGCCTTAAACGTTTTAACGAGTGTTTTATCCTCCTTTTGTGCAGTGATAATTTTCTCACGAGATACAGGTAACTTTAGTAACTCTGCATCAACCTCAACCACACTTTTGTTTTCTGTCTCTGAGTCTGAGCTATTTTCTTGTTCCCGATTCACACCCGATAACGTGTCTCCAGTCAAAAGTGGAAACATGAAGGAGCTAGACAGATCTACTACATCACCCACTCTGCGTGACTGAGCGCGTGTGACAGCGCAAGCTGGAAAAGCTTCAGGGTAAGTTTCAGCTAATCTTTCTAACTCACAGGACACATTTGGTTCTTCCATTACTTCGATCACAGACATTACCTTACCACCTGCTAAATCATTTCCTAGAATGAAATCAACTCCCTTCACAGGAAGTGATGGACAAACAGCGACTCTTACAACACCAGTGCACAACTCACTCTGCAAGTGCACTTGATGCAGTGGGAATTTCATACATCCCATCTCAATTCCCTGGACAAGTACACTAGACCCACAGGAAGTATTATTAGACATCTGTATTTTATCTGCCAAAATAAATGACTGCATCGCACCAGTGTCTCTCAGTATTCTTATTTCTTTCTGATCTTCTGTTTTCCCAGTCAAAGATATTAACCCTTTCGACACGAAAGGTCGATAACTCTCATCAACTCTATCATCAGTATTCACGTCAACTGCAGTTTCACTGGTGTGTACAAATCCCACACCCTTCGGTTGAGACTGCGGCTTGCGTTTCAATAGCAAACAATCAGCAATCAAATGTCCTTTCTTGTGACAGTAGAAACATTCACGCTCCTCTTTATCACGAGATGGACTAAATCGTGCACGTGAATTCTTAGACTGTGAATTATCGAACTCTAACTTCTCAAATCGTGTGGAAGAAAACACATTCTTGTGAGTTAACACAAACTCATCTGCAAGGACAGCGGCATGTGACAGAGTAGTTACCTTCTGTTCATTAAGATATACTACAACGCGATCAGGTAAGCATCCTTTGAACTCCTCAAGTAACAGCAATTCTCTTAAAGTATCAAAATCACGCACGTTACTGGCAGTGCACCATTTATCGAACAACACCCCTTTCTCCCTAGCAAACTCCGTGAAAGTTTGTGTAGGACTTTTTCTGTGTTTTCTAAAACGTTGTCTATACGCTTCTGGAACTAATTCGTAAGCTCTCAAGATAGCAGTTTTCACAGACTCATATTTCATACTCTCTTCTAGTGACAATGTAGCACAAATTTCTTGAGCTTTTCCCACTAATCTACATTGCAAGAGCACAGACCAAACCTCTTTAGGCCAATGAAAAGAAGTTGCAATGCGTTCGAACGCACTGAAATAAGAGTCAACTTCTGTCTCTCTAAATTGAGGAACGAGCGCAATGTGTTTACTCACGTCAAAAGTTTCGGGGCTTGAACCACCACGCGGCGAAGAAGGAACAGTTGAAGCGGTGTCCAACGGCACAGCTGAGTGAGCAGTCACTCTCGACGCTTCCAACTCAAGCTGTCTCAGTTTCACCTGCGTCTCTGCTTCAATTTCCAACCTGCGTACCTCCAGTTGCAAGTTCAGGTCAGCTTGACGTGCCTGAGCTCTCTCTTGAGCTTCAAAACGCAAACGGGCAAGACGGACTTTCAGTCGCGGACTTTCCCGTGAATCCACAGAGCTGGGTGAGAACGGCTCAAACGGTGATAAGCCGGCCTTGGCTTCGGCCTCCGCCTCCGCGTCAGCAACAGCTCCGCCACTCTGCTTGGCCTTCTCCCCATGACAGATTTGCGCCGGAACATTCCCCACATTTGACATAGGCAACACCTGCAACTCATTCAATTTGTTGATCAAAATTTGCTTTATTTCTTTCTTAAGAGACTGTTTACTCACCACAATCTGAAAATGGTCTGCGATCTGCAACAATTCCTGCTTACTGCACAGATTAAGCTGTTCTACAGATGGACTAGAAACAAAATCTTGCAAGTTAAACATTTCCAAAAATGAATAACGACCCGAAATCCGACAAGCACCACACTAATACCATGCATGAGTGATTACTATCCGGTCCCAAAACCACAAACCGCGCAACGTCACTTCCTTGCTAACACCACACCTCCACAGAATTACCGTTTTCATTTATTTTCTTCCAGGCACTTTCCAATACAAACAACAACTTGCATTGCTATTAGTATCCCGGACGAGCCCCCATTTAATGTTACGACCCCTCTAAACTAATCTAGGGGCTAGAGGAGCAACATTAAAGAAAACCTTGCAAAACTGTGGAAATGGTGCTGTGTGTCAAGAAACAACAAGCGAAACCAAACTGCCAATGAAAATAATGATGTTTATTATACAAAAGATAAGGAATACCAAATGAATGATGAAGTAAATTAGGAACAGTAAGGAAGCCTCCAACCATATAAACAATTATATAAAGAGAAAACAAAACAAAAAAAATAAGTAATAAATAAAATAAAAGAAAATAAGCAACAATTTACCCTTAAGGAAAAAGGGACTAAAGTGACGCCAAAATAAAGAAAGAAACAAAAGAAAACAATTCTAATTAAATTCAACCCTCTTACCTGGCTAAGGAAAAGGAAAGAAAAAAAAAAGAATTGTTTCTTCAGCGCCGAGCGCCGTGTTCTTCCCTGCTCTAGCTAACATAAACAAAACATACAAGGGTGGCGTTCACCGCTTACCTGGTGTTTCTATACAAAGGTTATTCTAGATGTTTGCACAATGGAAGTCGTACGACATCTTCCCTATCCCCCATTCCTTGGAGCAAAAGGGTAACAAAAAGAGCACAAGCTCTAAACAAGTTGAAGCAAACGTCATCCAAAGTAATCAAACAAAGTAACAAAAACAAACTGAAGAAACACAGTTAGCATAAGCAAATTAACAAATCAAAACGAGTCCCAAACGAAAACAAAAATCACAATGGCAGCAAAAAGGAACCGGAAATCAAAACGGGACTAATTTCCAGTCTATTTCCAGCGTCCTTTAAACTGGTAGTGAGGACGTCTCGGACAGCGGATAGGTCCACATCACATCCCTTGATGATGATTGACAGTTTCCTGGGCCAATCAGCAAGCGGTGAAGGCTGACCTAAGAAATTGATAGAGAGAGAGAGAGAGAGAGAGAGAGAGAGAGAGAGAGAGAGAGCGCACGCAAGCAGAAAACAAACACAGACGCCCACAGAATATCTACGAACGTAACAACGAGTCACGCTTATAACAACTTTCACTACACTCAAACATATTTTAGATTGTTTTGACCAAGTAAAACAGCACTGCATTACCCCAAAATTTATATACAACAGATAAAGTGACCTGTATGAGATGAAACAGCTGCAAATGCGGAATTACCGCATTTGCAGCTGTTTCATTAGAAAGAAAAAACATAATGTGAATTTAAGTGATCGCAAATTGTAATAAATAAATGTGTAAAATAACTAGAAAAATTACTAGCAGCTCATTACCCTGACATTATCCAGTCATTTTACGGACAAATCAGAGACGAGATCTCTTAGACCGTAGTCAGTAGCACAGGAGCACCACAGGGGACAGTGCTCTCCCCAGTCTTGTTCATCCTGTACACCTTACTGTAACAAAGTTCTAGTTAGGGTTAGGGTTAGTAATTTGATAATAAAATATTATTTAATCATAACTTTGATCATGAAATATGCCTAAACAAAAGGAGCTGACTAATATGCGGAATAAAAACAGCAACATATCTCTGGCTCTCAGCCCTGCTCTGCTTCCACAGTAACGCCTGACTATTCATGCTAGTAACGCTAGACCTGACTATTCATGCTAGTAATGCTAGTCCTGACTATTCATGCTAGTAACGCTAGGCCTGACTATTCATGCTAGTAACGGCAACGCTAGGCTTGACTATTTGTGCTAGTAACGCTAGGACTGACTATTAATGCTAGTAACGCTAGGACTGATTATTCATGCTAGTAAAGCTAGGCCTAACTATTCATGCTAGTAATGCTAGGCCTGACTATCCATGCTAGTAATGCTAGGCCTGATTATTTGTGCTAGTAATGCTAGGCCTGACCATTCATGCTAGTAATGCTAGGCCTTACTATTCATGCTACTAGTATAAGGCTAGGCCTGATATTAAAGTGACTTTATTCTTATTATAAACTAAGTATTACATTATTGATGCTGTTAATGCTCCCTCAGGACAATGAAGATAACGCCACACCAAAAAGTGACATTTCCCCTTACGAAAAAGAAGTATATTTCAAGTTCATTTTATATAGTATACTTAAGTAATGTTCAAGTATATTTTTAAGTATACATTATGTAGTAAGTATACTAATGTCACTATGTACTAGTAGTAAACTTGTAAGTGTACTATTTTAATACCGCTTGGGACTAAATTGGCCCACTTTTAGTACATAAAAGTATATGTTTAAGTGTACTATAAGTGTAACAGTAAGTGCACAACTAGTTCATAATTATGTATCTCATGTGTACTGCAAGTAAATTTATGGGTATACTAGTAGTTTACTTTTTTACTGTAATACTTATACAAGTATACTTTGAATACTTAATTATACTTTTAAGTATTTCTGGATCAAAACATTGAGTACAAGAACAGGACAAATATACTTGCTTTTCTCTCAGTATAAGTCAAGTACACTTAAGAGTAATTTGAAGTATATTTAATTTTTTTTAAGTACATATAGTATACTTCTGAGAAGTACAGGAAAAATAAACTGAAAGTATACTTTCTTATTTTTAGTTTAAAAGAAGTATACTAATGGCACACTTGAATAAACTTCTTTTTCGTAAGGGTTCACCAGAAGGTTTCCAGCTAACTTATATAATTGCGGAAGTTCTTAAGAAAATTTCCGTGCATTTCATCAATTGTAATTTACTTGTGTTTTAGTTTCCTGATCCCAATGATAATTTGGTTTATTTTGATGTTTGAGTGAGAAGAAGCAGTGATGGTCTGAGATTAGTTAGTGTTAGTAGAGTTAGTAAGAGTTAGTTAATGTTTTTATTTACTTGTTTTAATTTTATTTCTGATATTTTGTACTGTTCTAGCTTATGACATTGTGTCCTGCAAATATTCTTAGTGCTTATGAATGAAGTGAATATTAGTAGTCTTATTAAAGCTTTTTTTGATAAATACATGTACAAGCAAGAAATTAGTCAGAATGTCAGTGCCTTAGCAGTTTTTTGACAGCTCCTCAGTATGAGTAGTGTTGCTGCTGGGCAAATTCTATTTTGCTTTAGTTTCCTCCTTGTCTTCAGAAGATATGAAGGCCAAAATCTCAGATGCTTCTCTGACTTTCTTCTTGGCATTGAGATTCCTCTCTGCTATCAGTCTGAGCTTCTTGCCAGCTTGTTTCCTGTCATAGGTGTTGGCAGGAATCATATATGCTGCCTTGAACTGATCGACTGCTTTGTCTTCATTCTTTTTCTTGTAGAGCAAGAACAAACCATAGCATGTGTGGCAGTGCTGCTTATCAGACTCAGTGAGAGTGTTGTCATCTATCAGGTTGCTAAAGATCTTCTCTGCCTCGCCAAATTGCCGGTTCTCGCCATATGCCGCTGCCAAATTCACTTTGCCATAAATGTTGCTAGGCTTTAGCTCTACAGCCTTTGCGAAGTGTTGGATACATTTAGCCACCATTGAGGCTTTTTGAGCCTCAGGAATGCGCCTCCCGGCCCTCCTCTCCTCAGACATCTGAATAAGCTGTTGTTTATGACAAATGCCAATTTGATGGTGCAGAAAGGACGAGTTTGGAGCAAGCTCTACTGCCCTCTTGAGGACACACAGTGACTCTTCAATGGATCCCTCAGCCCTGAAGTATTTGGCCACGTATCTGGTTACTTGTGGAACATCAGGAGACATCCTGAGGGCCTCTTTTATAAGGTGCTGGGCTTCCTGTCTTCTTGACCTCTGGAGTTTCAGAGCCAAAAGTACCATGATCTCAGTGTTTGTGGGCTCTAAGCTGAGAGCTTTTCTAAGCTGTTGGATGACTGTTCCCGTGTCTTCTGCTTGGTTTATGCCGTCTATCCTGTAAAGCACTATTGCGTAGCCCACATTAAACAAAATGTTGTCTGGTTCTGCCTCAAGAGCCTTAGAGAAACTCTCTTTTGCTTGGTCATAGAATGTTGCTCCAAGTCTCAGAAAGCTCCAGGCTTTCTCACCATGAACTACAGGCAAGCTGCAGGAGTAATCTGATGAACCTGTTATGTCCTTGCAGATACGTTTCACTTTGTTCAAGTAATCGTCTGCATCATTTAGCCTCTGTAAGTGATAGTACACCCATGCAAAGCTGGAGAATGTCACCAGGAACTCAGCTTCCTTGTGCTTTTCTTCCTTTAATGCCAATTCAGCCTTCTGAAGGTAGTCCAGCGCACACTCGGTTTTACCCTCCAAGTGGCTAATAAAAGCTAGAAGGTTGAAATAAGTGGCATGGTACTTTTGTGGAAAAAATGTGATCCTGTCATGGAGTTTGTCTGGTAAACTGTTCAAATCCCTTATGTCGGATTTTTCTACACCCCATGTAAAAAGACACTCCAGCTGCCTGAGATTTGCTTCCATGTTTTCGTTGCTGGAGAAAATGAAGTAAACAATCTCTTCATAACTAAGGAATTTGTTAGATTAACAGTAGCATGTATTTTATAAGCCGAAATAACCACAGTATTGCTCGTATTATTTTACAAAACTAAACTACCTTAGTTAACATGAACTAAGAATGAACAATACTTCTGAATTGCTTCTGAAAATGGATTGCATTTGTTAACATTAGTAAATGCACTGTGAAGTAACACGAACAAACAATGAACAGCAGTTTTTTTTTATTAATTAACATCAACAAAGATAAATAAATACTTTAACAAATATATTTGTATATAATATATACTGCTCATTGTTAGGCTACTTCACGTTAGTTAATTAGCTGATGTTAACTAATGGCCGATATAATAACTACGAGATAGCTGCCTTTAGATAGATTTTAACAACACGTTTAGTTGATAAATGTTGCAATAGGTGCTTCTCCTACCTCATTTCACGAGGATGTGCTGAATATAGCTCTTCTTTTCTGCTGAAACAAGCCTGCTGAGACGTCACGAAAACGAAAGTGAAGAAACTAGAGATAAGTTTCGCTTTCCTGATATGCCGTAAAAGAAGATGTGTTGTTCTAAATCACTTTTTATTTTTGGTTTTATTTTTATATGTCATAAACCCATAATCTGTGACAGTAGCCTATAGTTCAATTATCCGATTGTCGGTTATCTTGTTGAATGAATGAATGAATGAATGAATGAATGAATGAATTAATTAATTAATTAATTAATTAATTAATTGTGAAGTGGCTATATTTTTTATTTTCTGTGAAGTTTTAGCTAACTAGTAGTTGTTTGTTTGTATTTCAGTCTTTCCATTAAGCTACACATTTCACAAGCAGCAAGCACACTGTCTAACTCCAACTGACGTAGCAAAAATCTTGACTCGTTTCTGCATCTGCAGTAGCCTGTTATAAACAGCAGGTAGCGGTGTTACATGGTAAAACTGAAATAATGTCCAACTCTCTGCTATTAGGCAACTCTACAGATAGGTGAAATGATACGGAAATTTTACATTCATATTTTCGTAGGATTAATGAATATTTTGCCAGGTTTTCAGTTGCCTACCAAAGTGTGCAATATGGTCCCCTTGGAATTATAAGGTTCTATCTGACATTTTTGTCAAAATTGAGTTATTCACATTTTCTTATTCTGTGGCAATTTTTTTACATTATGTGATGTGTTTTGTACATTTAGGGTCCCTGTTATTTTTATGTTTGAAAGAAACATGTTCCCCATACACACATTTTCCTATATGGAATGCAAAAACTTTGAAGCTCAATATCTCAAAACTGCTCAGAACGCAGATAGAACCGTATAATTCCAAGGGGACGATATGAATAGTGGGACTGGGCGTGATTAACTCCTTGATCTGCTATCTAAACAGAATAACTGTGCCTTGACTAATCGTAAATTCGTTTACAGGTTCTGAAATTTTACTTACTCTTTTGTTTCGCTATTATATACTGTCTCTATTTAAATACACTGTATTTCCATCCTTGTTTTCAATTATAAAAGTGTTGTAGTAAACAATATTTTTTGTATTTAAAAAGTAGGTAGTTTTCGGTCTCTACAGCATTTTATGATTTTTATATTTATAAATTATAGTTTATCATTACCTATCTGGTTAATATAAGTTAAGCAGAGAACCTTTCTGAGATTTTCACACACACACAGGAGGCAACCACAAAATTTCCTGGAAATTCCAACAGGAAGAACCATTTAGGGCAGACAGCGTAGGTGAGTAAAAAAAAAGGGGCGGGTCTTTTATAGTACATAAGCTCCATAGAAGCAATGTGCTGCCATTCAGACACAGAACTGCCAAAGAAAGTGAAATGTTTGGACTACAGCACATCTGGGGCTGCATTATGCAGTACGAGGCCATGCTAAAGTCTCCATTTTTCCCTGTGCTCTTCTCTTTTACAGTCTACATGAGCTTCTGCTTGCCCTTTGTCATTCTGGATGCCCTGTCTCCTAAGATAGCACTAATAAGGAGATACAAGATTCAACAGAAAACCAACGTGTCTTGGACAATGATTTGGAGCTGCCTCGCGCTCTCCCTCTACAACCATGCTGTGTACATCTTCCCGCTGAGCATCCTGAACTGGTACTGGAGACCCGTCAGCTACCCAGCGGTGGCACCTGGGGTCCTACGAGTCGTCTGGGACCTCGCTGCCTGCCTGCTTCTCTTTGACTTCCAGTACTTCGTATGGCATCTTCTGCATCACAAAGTGCCCTGGCTCTACCGCACTTTCCACAAGGTGCATCACAAATACACGTCCACCTTCGCCCTGGCCACTGAGTACTCAGGAGCTTGGGAGACTCTGTCTTTGGGTTTCTTCGCTGCAGTGAATCCCATGTTACTGGGGGTTCATCCTATGACAGAGATGCTTTTCCATATACTGAACATGTGGCTGTCAGTTGAGGACCACTGTGGCTATGACCTGCCATGGGCGACGCACAGACTGGTGCCTTTTGGACTGTATGGAGGAGCTCCACACCATGATGTCCACCATCAGAGGTTCAAGTCCAATTACGCTCCATACTTCACTCACTGGGACAAGCTCTTTGGGACACTGCACTCTGGATGAACTGAACAACTGGACCAAGCTACATGAACTGATTTCATTTGTCTTTTTTGTAAAAAGTGCATTATCATTCTATGAATGAACACCCTTAACTCTAAAACTGTGTTAAATTGATGAAGTTGTCTATTTATTGAACATCTGTATTTAAGTGTGACTGTAAGAAAAAGGATAAGAGATATGAAAAAGCTGTGTGTAATGACTATATGAAGCACATTTGTTAACCTCAACCTGCTTTTTATTTATTTGTAATTTTTTTAAAGCCTGTTTTGATACTAAATGTTTTGGATCAATACATTTGTGGGCCATGAAGAACAGAACAAATAAAACAATGAAGTAAATACTATAAATACAGTGTTTGTGTTTCCTTTCATTTTGCATAGTAAGAATACTTGGTATTAGTAACACATTGACAGTGTAATTACTTAATTAATTACTTAGTAGTAAACGTTGTAATGACATGTTAGAAAATGTAATTAACATGTAACAGCCTGTACTTGCAGACTGTAATTACACACGGTAACACTTTAGAATACGGTTCCATCGTTAATGAATAACTACACAAGAACCAATGAGCAACACAATATTAACAATCTAGTAACTATTATTAACTAACAAGAAACTCTGATTAACGAACTAGTAAGTAATAGCGCACAGACGAAAGTGGTAGTCCACTATTAAGTAATCAATAATTACCATTTTTAATACTTCCCAGAGATACTGAAAAAGTTTATTAACAATCTAGTAACTACTATTAACTAAAAGAAACTCTTATTAACGAATTAGTAAGTAATAGCTCACAGATGAAAGTGTTACTAGATACTTCTGTGGGAATTACTAATTATTTGGATCCGTATTATGAAGTGAAGACCATGGGAACTAACTAGTAATGACTCAAGTGTTACTAAAGGCATTTTCTAAAAGTATACTAAAGTTCACCAAAAATCTCAACCGTTTGCACAAATCATGACTAGATCATGTAGTAACACTTGAGTCATTACTAGTTAGTTCCAATGATCTTCACTTTATAATACGGATCCAAATAATTAGTAATTCCCACAGAAGTATCTAGTAACACTGTCATCTGTGAGCTATTACTTACTAATTCGTTAATAAGACAAAAAAGCCTGGTCATGGTCATTTTGTACCTTCTAAAGTGTATCAAGGTTGTACTTAAGTGCACTTCATGTCTATCTACATACCTTATCCATCTGAACCCACTAGTTTATAGCTTAAACATGCAGTAGCTTCTTAATTACATTAAATTTGCAAAATATTACACATGGTATAAGCTACGTAAAATAAAGTGGATCAAGATTGTTAATTGTAAATCGTGTGTATCTACAAACCTTATATACTTTAGTTTGAATTAGGCCTAACTCAGGTTCAGGTTCACAGCTAAATGCATGTGGTAGCTTCTTAATTACATTGCAATTACATAATATTACACAGGGATAAGCTTAAAATAAAGTGTATCAAGATTGGACTTAAAGGAGTAGTTCACTTTTAAAAAAAACTTTTGCTGATAATTTACTCACATCCATGTCATTCAAGATGTCCATGCCTTTCTTTCTTCAGTTGAAAAGATATTAAAGTTTTTGATGAAAACATTCCAAGATTTTTCTCCATATAATGCTGGTAACCAAACGGTTCAAGGTCCAAAAGACATTTTCAGTGCAAACTGCAAACTGTTAAAAGGGCTTAACGACTAACAGTAGCTGCTTACATATGTGTAATTACAGTCTGGCTGTTCCATAACTTAGTTACATGTTAATTACATTTTCTTACATGTTATTACAATGTCTAATACTAAGTATCACGGACACCGTAAAATAAAGTGTTACCGAATACTTTAATAAAAATGTTTATAGTGCAGTTCTATGAGTGAAGTCTGAATAAAGTGATAATATAGAAGATAAAGGGAAGAGACGTTAGGAAATAAATAGAGTCAACATTAAAATAACTTAGTATTATTAGCTTCAATTGAGACATAGTCCAAGAAATGGTGGCACTGGAACTGTTTCACCAGACAGTGATGCTTAGATGCATATCTTAAAAGACTAAAATGAAACTGACTGAGATAATAAACATCGGTGACTAAGTCGTAATTTTCCCCACATTAACCCCCGCTCACAAATCCCGCTTATCTGTAGAGGGGAAACGTAGCCTACATCCTGAAAAAGACAATGGACATTTTCCCAAGTCAAGGGAGAATTCCCATAATTTCCATAATTCCAATCATACACTTGACTTTCAAGCATTTTTATTTATTTTTTTTGCCTTTGATTATTAGGTAGATGGAGTTAATATTAAGTATTTGATTGGATAATGAATTTATGGCCTCAAACAGCATTTGGATATACACACAGATTTTTAACTAAGGTTAAAGTGTCCAATTATTTTATCTGGGCCACTGTCTCCATCTGTTTTCCATGTAAACAGCACCACTTTAATGTTCTCACACTTTTTATTTTTGGCATATGTATTGTATGCATATATTAAGCAGCATTGAGCAATCACATTTTTTATCAGCAGAATTTCCAATCAGCCTTGTGGAACCTGTTCATCTTCATAAATGCTTTTCTGCCCTATTCTTTTAGCAGCCTGTGAAATAACATTTAACTAATTGGCTACCCACTCCTTAGAGAGTGTTTCATGTGTGGGAAGAAGAAGTGTTTGTGTTTCATATGTTTGAATGCTTTGAAAGATTAACAGAATTTCTGAAGAAATAGCAGGTTTATATCCTACACCTTTCCAGATTAGCATCACTGTAAACTCTCGATTTCAGTCACCTGAAACAGATCTCAATGCACGTGAACATTTTTATTTATCATATAAAAGAAGCAACTGAACGTTGCTATTTAATTGTTATTATGCTAACATATTTGAGCTGTTAAAATCTGTTTTAGCTGTAAAATGTTCTATTAATAACATAATGGAAGGACTA